AGTAAATATTTGCGTATATGTAATTATACTGTAACAAGCAATTATATGTATACCAGTTAGATAAAATAGTCATGTTCAATAGACTGGGGTTTTAAATAATATTTTCCTAGTTCTCAGTCGATTTTTATCATTGTTTTGGTTACAGAAACTACTGCTCTATTTTGCCACCAAGATCAGCTGAACTTCGTTTCCGCCATGTTTGTTGTGAGGGAACGCGAAACCAAAACTGCGAAACCTGCCTCGGAGATGGTTTCGAAGTTTCAGAACCCAGTTTTAGGTTTCGACATAATCGAGTGCATGGTTTTCCAGAAACCAAAACCGGTTTAGCATAATCGAATAAGTCCTAAGATTTTGCCTTTTTGCTAATGGGCGCGAAATATGAACTTTGCAATATTCCTTCTAATTTGGATGATGTACGGAACAGTTAAGAATAATTTTAGCGGTTGTAAAAATGCATTCGATATTGATTCATTTTTGGGAAATTACATTTATAAATATTTAACCTCTAAAATTATTCTTACCAATTTACTGCTCAGGTCACTTAAATGTCAAGGCCATCTATGGCCGACAAGTGAGTATGATTGCCGATGGTTTTGGAGAAAATGCCTGCTTACTGTCGAGGAAATGATTTATAGATGTTGCAATAAGTTTTTAGACCCGTGGAATCTAGCACTACATAGGTGCTGTCAACGTGGCTGGAATTAATAAACGAATTTAAAAGGTGAGTTTTCGCTGTCTTGGGTGATCCATGATTTTGGGGTGGGGTGAGGTGAGGTTACATCAAGTTTAACATCACCAAAGACATGGTCACGAATAATCAGGAGCTTTATGAGCCTTCTCTTTTTCTTATTGCCCCAGACATGTAACATTATCTATGTCTCCAGGGCTTTCTAAGCCACACCAGCCCCTGGATCCATCCTTGTGGTTCTTGCAATCTCAAATTACCTGCCCTTGATTTGTCTGTACATGTTACAGACCAATAAAAACTTTATCAGGAGGAAAGTAAAATGGTAAGGGGGGTAACTCATATTGCCTAGACACGAAAGTTTTAAGAGTAATAAAGTCGTCCTTTCCTTCAAAAAGATATTTTTTCTTTTGTATGACAGTCAGTTTTTTAAAACGTTTTCTTGCAAATCATAGTAAATAATGGGACTGACAACCATGGTGACATTTCCACCCCAAGAATGAGGCTTGTTTGTAACTTGCATTAATTGGTCACCAAGAGTGAGCAGGGATTTACCTTGAGGCCTGAATTTGAGGGTCCCTGGGACTCATGCTTATAATTTTCAGGGGTCCTGGACAACAAAATGGGGGTCCCAGACACTTAAATATTATAATAATACTGTTATTGTATTGTGTATCATGGTCAACACATTAATGGTGACAGTAATTAAATTGCAAATGATACCATAACCCAGCTATAGTAATGTCGGAAATGCTAGAAAAATGCTTTTTGACTTATATTTAAAATTCAGAGGTATTACAGTTACTTAAATAACAAATATCACTTCAAGAAACATCTACCTAATGTACACCGAGGGAATAAATTTTGAGACATGCTCTAAAATGTGTTTTTACTGATGAAAATACAAAAAACTTAGAAAAATAAGGGGTAATTGGACGTTATTTGAAACAAACATTAACTGCCTGTGTTACGTCATCAGCATGCACGGTATCGACAGGTGAAATTGACGGTCTACTCCCATTTGTGAGAACTCCCAGTTGTGAGACTCCCAGTTGTGAGACAGTGGAGTAGATTATTACCAAAGAAAACACACCTTACTCCCCTATCTGATAGAATGGATTAACCCCAGCTAATTATGGATTAGCCATTTAACTGAAACTCTAAAAGATAAAGTAATTAACCTACTCAGATAAATGGCTTTAAAAAATTACACTTTGTGTAGGTAACTTCGTGATCATTTGGAAGAGAAATTAATTTACCTACTCAGATTTACGTGTTTGAAAAATCTAGCAATAACTGTTGTAACTATAATTAATCCAAATGTATTTATTAACCTTTGACTGCTCTTTCCGATCACCATTATGGCAGGCCTTCAACAAGTAGAATATATCACCAGTTCACGATAATCTTTTCCAGTATTTCAGTATCTATTGAAAACAATAAATGCTTATCAACGAACAATGTCTTCTGTGATAATTAACTCATTAATGAACTATGCCTCCTGCGGGTACTCTTCAGCAACAGGGCTGTTCCCACTTTCATCGCAGGGATGGGGAAGCACCACCTGTGTGCACTGAACCATTAATTAATGTGTCTCACAAATGGGAGTTCTCACAAATGGGAGGACACTGAAATTGACACCTGAGCACACGCTCGGGGCGAAGGGTCATCTCAATAGATGTTTTCTGCAAAATGTTGAATATGTGTACGTATAGTATACGTATCGGTTATGTAAGGGATCATTTGTGTATTTGTGTTTGTTTTGAAATAAACATACGAATTACTGTACATTGGAAAGAATCCTATCACTTGTGTTATCTTATCGACTGCTTGTAGAAATGTGCAACGTTTTAATAAATGTTTTGCATGGCAACAGTATATTTCATTGAAAAATATGGATGTAATTAGGTCAGTTTAATCTAGTTGTGAACATTGGCCAAAGATTTAGCGAAGTCACTGGTGTAGCTTCTTTAGAATATATATATTTTTCTTCTCATAAATTTTGTAGACCGCCCGTCTAAGTACTCCCTTGTCAAAGTTGTCAAGGATGGTTTCGTCCGGTTTTGCATTTGAGACAGTCCCTGTCTTGTCTGATTTGTTTACAATATTGTAAACTTGTTGGTAAGACATGCCAACAGCTCTACAAGTTCTGTAATAAACCCTTTCTAAACTAATGGAAGGTTTACCTCTGTCTTTTTAAGCAGAAAAACCTATAAACCTTTGCAACAATCGACTGCAAATCGTTGGCCATAATAGTGGGCTGTGATAAAGATGTGCATGCATGGAAAACTTATTTATCAAGACTTAACATTTATATTAATATTTCTTCAATAAAAGAAAGCGATACTTTAGTAAAGTAACACAAACATTCAACATTTATTTGTTTAGGATAAGCGTTAATTCATATTTTTACACCACCTGTATTATTAGCATAAATGTAAAGACTATTTCAGATTTCTGTTGTTGAACTCTGAAAAAATCTTAAGTTGCTGTTTTGGTACCAAATTCTCTCCTGTAAACTGCCCTTTAAATGCATGGGAATGTTAAATCGATTGAAATAAAAATTAGGTAGACAATAGGCGAGTTGATATATTGACAACATAGTACATTTATCACCTTTATAAAGATATTAAGGCTAAAAAGCATTTTTCTAGCATTTCCGACAGTACTTTAGTAGCACACTCAGTGATAACTTATTGTTACTTGATTGGAACTTTTACCAAAGTATTTGGACTTTTTTGCGTCCCTGTGGATGGGCTAATATATTTCATTGTGTCAATCAGAGCTACAGATAACTTTTTGGGTCATTGAGTTATGTACTCCCTTTTCTTCATCTCAATTGGGTATCCAAATTTTCCTTTGAGTAACCAAATAAATTGTACTCACCTCGATTGGGTATTTTGCCATTTTCCATTAATTTTTAAAAACATAATAAAGTTTAAATGTTAGTGTTTGTTATTTAAATTTGATCTGTGATATGAGAAACGATAAGAAAGACTGCAAGTTGCTAAAAGTTCATGTCCTGAAATTGAATCTCTCAATATACCTTAGTTTTCTATCTAATCCACCAAAGATTTGACATTTTGTGCATGTAAGATCACATTTATTGAGTATTTACAAATATTCAAGCGTACTTGTACACAATAGACTTAATAGGAATTGAGTTTTCACCTGTAATTTAAATCTGTACCTCTGGTCCATTGAGAATTTGTGTCCTGTAAATCTCTGACTGAGTTGCATGGTAAACAATATCGACAAGTGAAAATCAAGCATAGGCAATGTATCCAGGGGCCGATGTAGTTTCGCACATATTTCATAGTTCACTAAGGTTATACAGTAAAATATTTTAAGTAAATGTTGTCTGTTATTGCATTAGATCTACTAGGCATTACCACAGCATGAAGTGATTTAGTTCAAACTCAATGTCCCATCAGCATGACTTTAACCATTTCAGGAAGAGAGCAGGTTTGCATACTAGGGCTGGGACGGGTCCAAATTTTCTACCCAGGTACCCAACCCCTATTACCCGTTATGTTAATTCTTGACATCAAATTTGTTAGAAATGGCAATATATTCATCAACTCGGAGGCTAAAATTTAGAGTTTTTCAATATCTTAACCATGTATTATATTCAAAAGAAGTGACTGTAATTATGTATAAATCTTCAAAGACAATACAACCTCTTAATCATGAAAGAATAGCATATTACATTGTTTAATCTATTAGTCACATGATCATATGGGGTGCCATATTGAGACGGATAACCAGGTCCAACTCATTACCCACCCATCCTGGGTATCCGGTTACCCTTCCCAGCTCTATTGCATACACAAGATGAAACATATTTATAACATGTGATATGGTTGATACAAATTATTTAAAATAACACATATTGTGTGAAATTAACAAATCTTAAGTGTGTGTCCAAAATAGTTTTCTTCGTTGTAACACTGCTCAAGCACCATGAAATACCCACTTACATATTCGAGATATTGAAGGGAAGAAAAGGCAAAATTCTCAAAACACAGCTCGTTTCCATCCGAGAAGTATAAATCGTGTCTCCGTAACCAAACTACGATAGTTGTCCTGACAACCATATCATTTGTAAATATGCAATACAGTCAGTCTACCACCATTTGAGATTGTATGCTTTCATGAATAGCATGAATCGTAATCCGTCTGCTTTTTTCTTCAAGATGGTGATGGTTTACCGTTAGATATTTAAATGGAGATGATTACATCGACTCTTACGTTGTGAACGGTCGCCACCGTTGGTGCCAGTTACGGTTCCACGGCGATATCAGTGAAAGCTTACCTTGCCGTTGTAGACAGCCATGTTGGGTGTGAGTATCATACGGAACTTGTCGCGTGTGTTTCGTCTGTCCCCGCCGAGACTCGCTGATTTTCACTTTTAGCACGTGTTGCACGTGATGCAGGTACATGAAATCAACAAGTTCTCGGTGGTACTGCACATGCGCAGTGAATGCAGAGACTCAACTGGTGGTTGTTTCCAAAGATGTTATTCACAGCAAGTTATTGATCGCGACTTAGCTAAAGAAAGATGCGCACGTAAAATATTGAGACAAACTGCCCCAAATCCGACTTTGGAAACAAAACTATAAAATCCAGAAGAACCTTACAGTATCTTACATGAGCGTAGGCTCATCTACGACATCGTAAACGTGAAAGAGACTAGAGTGTTTTCCGAAATTCATTAGATTGTTACCCGTGAAGATCCGGGTTAGAATTGATCTTCAGTAACCCATCCTTGTCGTAAGAGGCGACTAACGGGATAGGGTGGTCAGGCTCGCTGACTTGGTTGACACATGTCATTGTATCCGTATACCGCAGATCGATGCTCATGCTGTTGATCACTGGATTGTCTGGTCCAGACTCGATTATTTACAGACCGCCGCCATGTAGCTGGAATATTGTCGAGTGCGGCGTAAAACTAAACTCACTCTTGTTGCATGTGCGACATCATAAACGTGTTCACTCATTCTCAATAAAAGGGCGCATTTGTGTCGCCGCGCTCTGGGTTTTCCTGGCTTTCCTTTTTAGTTGATTCTTTTGCATTTTGCAACATGTCACCACCCCTACTAAAGATTTAAACATCACGTGTCTGCCACATGTCGGGAATAAATTAAATATATCCAATTAATTGTCAATTTTGAAACGTACGTGACTGTCGCCGCAAGTGGTATACACACCTTAAACGACAGTCAGTATGTAATTTTCATTACTGATAACCCGGTAAACAGACTGTAGTATTTTGCAATGATAGACGTTTCATTTACCCGTCAAAGAAACTAAACATGACGTTAAATAACTTTACTGTCAAGTCTAAAGTGTCTGTCGCCAGTTTGTACTTTACGAAAATTTGTGTCAGCTTTCTTCAGTTTATTAAAGGATTTGGGGCACTGTTTAAGATATATGCGAGTATGATACATCTGTTTTGAGATAGTCATAAGAAAGAGCTGTGAAAAGAAGTCTGACGGATCCCATAAGTTTGCATGTTTCTACTGTGTCCCTGTTTGAACAAGGCCTGTCAAATGCGTAGGCCCTATGGTTAAGGATGTAATGTACGTGACTATCATAATATCAAAGTAAACAAAATATATCCAAATATATATTGCATGATAATTATAAACATTAATGGTCTTATCACGATATCAACATTTTTGGTTTAATTCTTAACAAGTTTGAACAGATATTGGGAAATTGTTGATAGAAAGAAATGGTACGTTACTGAAATGGACGATACCAGTACATTCGGATTTTCTCATTCAGACGTTGCCCAGCTCGATACGACTTTTGCACACGTCACTATTTCAACAGACTATGAGGGTTTTCCGAAATTCTTTAGTTTAAACTTGTTTGGTAGTTTTCACTTCTTCACTCGCTGACGGCGGTCTGTAAATAACTGAATCCCGAACAGACATAACTGCGAGATTTCCCAGCAAAAAAATGAAATTACCTTATTTCTCAGTGTTTTCATGAACCTTTGCCGTCCAAACTGAAGTTTTTAATACGCATTTTCTTCCTTGTCTAAATGTCACAGCGGTGTTCTGGTCCTTTTAAAGACAAGGGTAGGGTTATTCGAATGGACGCGGAATACTACAAGGTAATCCAGATCATAGGATTTAAAGTACTGTCGGAATTAGAAAAACAAATGTTTTTAGACTGTTACTCTGTATCCCTAAAATTTACACAACTGCAAATAGCATATGTCGAAATAACCCACATCGGCCAAACTGGGCGTTCAGTGGGATGCGTAATAGGATATCCAGAAAAGCATGTTTACTCGTAAATTCGAGCAATACTTAGAAAAAATACAAATAGCTGCTGAAAACAATAGATCAGACTATAGATGGCTATTAGGTCGCTCAGCCAGGTATGACGATGGACCGTTGAGTCACCTCGCATGAAATGCATGTGCTGCCCACAAGCACAAGGGGTCATCTTTTATGCTTTTTCATGTGTATTGAATATGTCCATATAGGTTATCTCATCGTAGCTGATATCTCTATCATCCAGCCCAACCTCAACCATCGTCTGCTATCGTTCATAATGAAGCTAAGTCTAATTTCAAAATGGGCTTTTAAAAACCGCATTGCTCATTTCTGCACTAATCTCTCCTCAGTAAAATCCTTTTTTACGTTTCCTATCTCCCTGCCACTGAGACTGTAGTCAGGCCGAACTTTGTTTAACAGATATTTTTCACTTTCTCATATTAACCACCTGAGCTGTAGATATAAATGTGAAAAAACAGTTTGTTTTCTATTTCCGACAGTTCTTTAGTACTCTGTAGTACCTTCCAGAACGCTGTCTAAATATAGCACAAGTCTGAATATAGCACACACTATCCAGTGCTGAATGTCAACAGGTACAAAGTATCACACATGGAATCAGAGTCCCACAAAGAATATCACTCCCACATAACAACATATATTTTTGAGTGAGTTTTACGCCGCTTTTAACAATATTCCAGCAATATCACGGTGGGGGACACCAGAAATGGGCTTCACACATTGTACCCATGTGAGCAACCGAACCCAGATCTTCCACGTTATCCACGAGGCTATCCCTACCGCCCCACATATATTTGTGTTCCGGGTGGCATATGGTATTAGTTGGCGAAGAAGCCACAGTCTTAGATCACCCAATCAAACGACCTTTACCCAGGATTATCTATTTAAAAATAATAGTTTCAAATTCTTGTGTCAATGGATTATATCGTGAAAAGCGTTTCAGAGTGGCTTTATGTCACATCTTGCGATATTCAAGTGTTTAACATTTTGAGTGTTTAACATTGGCACTGCCACTTTCCTTCTTACTGCTGCGGGGATCGTAACTCCCATACTTTGACATGGGCTCACGACAATCATCCTTAATGGAACGATACACAGGTCATGCGAAAAGATTAGCAGCAGGCTAGCTACACTGACGGACAAAAGAAACTTCCCACTCATTTTGAATGCCAGCAAAAGAGAAAGACATATAGGTATCAAAACAAAAGTATTGGATTATATGATGTCTCATATGATAACATCACGATATATAAACCTAACAACAATGGACCTCTATGAAATAAGGTTTGAAAACAGGTGGGGTCCAAAAGACAAAGACATACTAGGTGTATTGTAGTGAGTGAGTGAGTGAGTTGAGTTTTACGCCGCACCCAGCAATATTCCAGCTATATGGCGGCGGTCTGTAAATAATCGAGTCTGGACCAGACAATCCAGTGATCAACAGCATGAGCATCGATCTGCGCAATGGGGAACCGATGACATGTGTCAACCAAGTCAGCGAGCCTGACCACCCGATCCCGTTAGTCGCCTCCTACGACAAGCATGGGTTACTGAAGATCAATATTCTAACCCGGATCTTCACGGGTAGGTGTATTGTAGAGCTCAAATGTTATTCTTTGGGGTTTAGAGCTTATTTCATGCGTGTCCTCCTTGAGCGTCCAGTGATGCTAAGGTATATGATCGTACTGATGTCGTCAGTCTCCTAATGAATTCATATGGGATTCTGCGCCATTCCTGTGAAATATACTGTTTCAGCTGATTTCAGCACAATCCGTACAGAATGTAACCTGTCTTACCGCAGAATGGTTCCCTGCTCTTAGAAAAGAAATACCGCCGTTTGAAGAACCATACCTTTGTACATTTAGTTTACCATTTATGATCATAAGACGCGTTTTCTATCACAGCAGACTCCTCCCCGTACCACAACACCATCCCGTCTATGTTGGTAATACTCTTGGACGTACCCAGGTGCTAGTCGCCCACCTCTTCTGTAAACACAGATTCTTCCATTAGCACATCCTCGATAATTTCTAGGGTATACGTTACGATCACTCTCCACTATACCCTGGATGCATCCACGGCTTGGCCCGATGATTTTATTACCTCCCTTGGCTGGCTTTTTTTTATCCAATCAGGTGTCTACGCTGGGAAGTTAATATAAGCAAACCAATCACAACTCACTTTCGCTTCATGAATTATTTAACCGTTTAAACTTGGCAACACAACTGATGCAGAGGTACTCTGAAATATGTAGAAGGAGTTCTTTTATATATTTTTTGAAAGTTTCAGATCTGTCAATTTGTCTGTATTTTTTCACCAAAAATGTGAGTGGCACTGCGAACAAACTTTCGTGGCTGCGACCGCTATCTTTGTTGACACTGGCAAGCTCGGATGTAACGGCGGCCTAGCTGATTGGCTACTGCGAGAATGCGGAGCCAGCCAAGGGAGGTAATAAATTCATCGGGCAAAGCCGCGGGTGCATCCAGGGTATAGTGGAGAGTGATCGTAACGTATACCCTGGAGGTTATCGAGGATGCCATTAGCATGGTGGAATAAGAATCGACTTCCGTCAGCGAACAGGAACAGTACACGCTGCCATTGACATTACAGGCAACGTCGAACAGTCCTTACCCAACGCAACCGGGCTTGTCGATGTCTGTGAGTTTAGGTGATTGCACACAGTGAACGATAAGCCCTGGTAACCATAGCACGTAGACGTCGTGTAACTGTGGATGACAGACACTGGCGTTGCTGCTGTCGCCGTCAGCGACTCAAGAACCTAATGCGGAGGTGTATGCTACTGATGTGGAAGTCCTCCTGTTGGGTTGTAACCCGTGGGCTTTCTGTTCTGAGCCCTTCAATCGGTTCCTGCAATATGGGTCTTTGACGCTCCCATTCTCGCCCCATCCCCTTATCAATATTCGCCACTTACGACAGGTATGGGTTGCGTAAATCGAATTCACATGTTTTGCGGATCCAGCGTTTTTAATTGTGAAAATGTCGTCAGTTGCCGTTTAACCTGTCCGCTCTTCAAAATAGCCCAGCGGATAAGTGATCAAATTGTGCACTTTGTGTTACAAGCATGAAACTTGGCATGATTGTAGCTTATACCATTCTAGCTGAATAAAGATCGAGAGGCCTCGCAGATTTTTTATATT